CTCCTGTATGGGTGCGCCTCGTGGAGCCTAACAGCGGAGCACTACACGAAGCTCAATGGGACCCACCGTCAGTTCCTTACACGGCGCATAGGCTGGAGCAAGCGGAAACGCTCAGACCGCCCCCTGTCCTATGCCCAGGCAGGCTGCGAGGAAACCATCGAGGCCACCGTGCGCAAACGGAGACTGTGTTTCGCGGGCTTTGTTATGCGCATGGAGGATAGCCGCCTCCCCAAGCGCATGCTGTTAGGAGCGATGGCGGGTGGCGTGGGATACCGGGGCGGGCAGGAGAGCGACTGGGTGTCTCGCCTAGGAGAGGACCTCGTGGCCTTCAACATGGGAGACGAAAAGGAAGGTGGTAAATGGAAAGCGAGCGCCAAGGACCCGGAGGTGTGGTAAAACAAGGTCGAGGACGGGGCGGCATGGCTCATGAGGAAATGGCACAGGCAGGAGCGGAAGATGTTGTTGCGCCCTGTTTCCCTCCCTGCTGTATGCTTTACTCCTTTATGCATGTCCTTTTTATTGTCTTCGGCCTCTGTGCTGTGTTTCTTCCTTTCATGACCTCCCTGCCTACTCTGCTGTGCTGGGTACCTTGATCTCGCTGTTGCTGTTGCCTTTGTTTTTGTACGTCTGGCTGTCTGCCCATCTGCCGCCTCTTGTTCTGTTTGTTCCGTTACTCCTATGCCCTGGTGCGTAGTGCCTGGTGCTGGTACATTACCCTTGGATTTTTCCTTTGGGCGGGTGTGGCAAGTGTCCTCCTTCATATTTGTTTTTGTTTTATATTGATCGGTTTCCGAGGGCTCGTTTCTCGAACGGTCGGTGCTATACCTGTTCTTTTCTTTCCATATATATATTTTCTTTTTCCGAGTGGTTTGTACCCTATTTTTGTTTTGTTTCCCTGCGGCGTCGTATGTGCCGGGCGGGTTTTGAGACTATAGAGCTAATGTGAGAAACAACAACAACAACAACAACAACAACAACAACAACAACCCAACACATTATTGAACGCCAGAAAGCCACACATGCCCCGCTTCGGATCAATGTCACTCATGACGGAGATGTTGAGAGTTGTTCCCTGCATAGAAGCATAGGAGACCAGTACAACGAGTGCTCCGACAATAGAGTTGTGAATCGGTACGAAAAAACGATATATTTTACATCGGCTGCGCAGCAGCCGATATAACGATATTTTCTCCGATATATCGCCTACGGCGANTGTGTGTGTGTGGCGTACAGGGGCTCCGTACTGCTGCGCATACCCTAAATTTGATTCACGGAGCCCCTAAGAAAACATCGGTCGGAACATCGGCACGAATTTTCGATACCGATATCGATATATATCGGACGATATATATCGTGTACATCGTTCCGATTCACAACTCTATCCGACAAGCAGCAGTCATGTGCCGGCGAATGGAAACTCATTCCAGCGCCTCCCGCAGATTCAGATTCGGGGGTAGACCCTGATGCGTGCATGACGGTCAGGTTGTCCATTCTGTGCAACAGTAGTCGCAGTAACACTTGAACAGCACGGGCACATCGCGGGCAAAAGGACACAATGTAACTCCACGGGATTCTGGAAAGCATGGCAAGGGTGTAGCTTGTTCCCGGCCTGCATTGTATTGCCATTTTGTGAGGTTGAGGCTTACCTTGTCGAACGTGCGGAAGGTCTCCTTGAGGTCTTCCACCTCCTCACCCGTCAAATCTTTGATTGCGTCTTCCTCCGTTACCGCCATAGCTTCCGCTCTTTCGTGTCTTCCTTTGTACCCTTGTCTTGTCAGAGAGGGAGCCAAAAGGACTAGCTTGTTTGCAGGTCTGAGGTGGCGCTCCTCCCAACACAAACGGGGTTGATGCTAATAATAAAAAACAAACAAAGAGGGGGCACAAACAAAAAAGTAATTTTTCTTCGTTGTTAGCGGCTCCGTGGATACAGACATACTTTTGCTTAGTATCTTTAAGAATCTGCGGGGCCCCTACGTGGCTTGGCTTTTGGAGAACGTGGCCGCAGACCGCTCACACAGGCACAGAGGGTGGACTGGACAGACATTGAACACCCACCCCCCCGGTGTTGTGACGTAGCAGGCCCGTATCGCCTAGCGAGGCAGCTGATTTTCCACCATGGGAGAACGCAAGGTTCTGTGCAAGTACTTTCCGCCGGACTTTGACCCCAAGAAAGTCCCGAGGCTGAAGAGGGATCCCGAGAAGCAGATTGGCGTCCGGATGATGATCCCCTTCTCCATGCAATGCAACACCTGCGGGGAGTTTATGTACAGGTGTGTCTGTGTGTGTATCATAATGAAGGTAGCGAGAGAATGGGGACGATAGCGCCATGTTGGTTTTATCGCGTGAAGCTTGTAGTCTGATCTGGTGACAGTTACTTCAAGGCAAGGAGTTACCTCCACAACCGGTATTACGAGATGCTTCTGTACAAACAGCTGTTGGGACCCACATCGTTAGGCAGCCCCTAGCCCCCCCCTTTTTTTTCCCGCCGATGGTCTTTACTTGGGCTCCACAGCTGGATGTTGAGGCTATATTTGTCGATGTGCCGAAGGCCAATCTACCGGTAAGGTGCTGCCATGTCATTTCTACAATGCTTGCGAGATTTGCGCATCCAGAGAACCCTTGCAGCAGAACGAAACAACTGCTGTGGCGGCGTGTTGTGTCATTTGGCAAGGTTGCGCGAAGAGCCAACCAGTTGCAAATTCGATACACAACCTTAACCTTCAATGCTCGATACTACCTGGTAAACCCGTGTTGTCAGGCTCCGCGGAGGTATGAGGATGTAGAGACGGTTATTGTACCAATGTGGCGATATGGCTGGGGACCCGAAATCATTGGGTTTGAAAGTGAAGTTTGAAGCTCAGGCGCGAGGAAAAGCGAGATAGCGCTCTCGGACACCGCGTTTTGCTTGGGGGTGTCGGGGACGGTGTACTCGCGCCGGATACCGGCACCGCGTTCACCACGTTCTGCGACGCTGCTGGCATCCGGCGCGAATACACCGTCCCCGACACCCCCAAGCAAAACGCGGTGGTCGAGAGCGCTATCTGGCAAAGTAACACGGAAGAGCGGACGACAGGCGTACACCAAATGCATTATGCCGCTGTCGTCATGAGAGTTGCCGGAGTAGCTTCCATTTTCGTGCTGGAACAGTTAGCCAGAGCGTCTGGTTTGGGTCGGTGGGGGGTGGGGGGAGTGGGGGCGACGGTGATTGTATACATCTACGGGGGCCAAAAGAATCTAATGACCTGCCTGCACTCGCAAACGAGATGGTTATATTGCAAGTATTGGATTGAGTGACGTGTACGAAGAGCAGGTAGCAGGCCGCACGCTGAACACTCGCACATGTGTAGATAGAGGGATCTCGGTGCGGGGTATCAATATCGTGTAGCATCGTATCGTTTTTGCCTCAATCTCTCCTCTAGACCTCACCGATCACACACACGCGACTGCCATCTGTTCTCTGATCTCGTCGCTCTCGGGTGTATATCATTTGCATGTGATGTGTTTGATGTAACTTCTCTACTGTCACACGAAACAACACACATGTTGCAAATACATCAAATGTCAGCAGCATCTCCTGTTCCTCCCTCTGAAAGTGTCTAGTGCACATGGATTGACTTGTAGTTTTGTGCCGCGTGGGTGAAGTGGAATTGAAAATGGTGCTCAGAGATCCATCATGCACGCACCGGCATCCTCGATCAATTTTTGCTCGCCTGGGAATGTGTTCTCTGTTTGTGTCTACACGTCTCTGCGAACTGTTGCGGGGTATCCACACATAACGTTTTTGAAAAATTAACGCCACTTCATCAGCGTTCGGCAGGCCTGCAGTACAGAACATGCTGTTGAATGCAGATGTGTACCTTAGGTGACCTCAAGCAAGATTTCATGGATGGAGGCGCGACACTTGAAATCGGTGATTCGAAATTCTGGTGTGTACCTTTGTGGCATCGTTTGGCGTTGGATACAAGTATGGCTTCGTTCAATTATGTTTTAGTTAAGCTTCGCGAACATGTTATTTGTTTCTTTGCTTTGGAAGTGTAACTGAAGAGAGAGTACTGGGTCGAGGTGAGTACGATGTCAATATGGAGGCACCACCAGCACCAATGAAACTGGAGAGAAGCTGCATTGCCGTTTGGCCGACTCCCGTTCTCTGGCCCTTGCGGTCGTTGGTGACGTTTCTTGACGTGTTCGCATTGTCGTATTTGCTGCTTGATGCTTAACATCTAATCCAGGGGCAAGAAGTTCAACTCCCTGAAGGAAGACTGCATCGGCGAGGACTACCTAACCATCCGGAGGTTTCGCTTTTACATCAAATGCGTCATCTGCAGCCAGTGAGCGAAAAAAACGAATGCTTCACATCGCCGCTAGTAGCACGTATTTGCGTGTTGGCGTTTGCCATTCGTTCTTCAAGGTTTGTAACAAACTTGTGCCCTCTTCATGTCGTGCTGTTGGCCCGTTCTTGTACGATACAGCAAGTACCGTGTTGTAGGATGTAAATACACTAGGTTGTACAGAGTCGGTAACCTCCTCGGTGGTGTAAGAACTTCAAGGCGTTTCAGCAAAGACCAGGGCCGCCGAGCTCCTGCACACATTTAGCTTAAGGTTTATTTCACATCGAAGCTGTTGTAGGTTGGTTCATTCGTCCGTTTGGTGTTGACCTTTTGACCAATCGCGAACGACATTCGACGAAGGCCGTTGGGTAATTTTTCATGTCAGGTGCAGCTCGAGGTGTTGCTGCATGCTTTGGCAGGCCCTTTCTTGTTTTGATCGGAGGAAGACAGTCGGTGACCCTGCAGTACTTTTCGTACCCCTGCTCGTGGACCGCGATCACCGGCCGTGCGTGTGCAGCTACAACACCACTCGGCACGTGTAGATGGCTAACGCTCGTCCGCCGGTTCGAACACGCACACCAGTAGCAAGCCAATCACCCCGCTTGATTGCCACGCCTAATTTTTGGTACAGGCACGGTAGAAGCAAGTGGTATTGATCAGCTTTGAGTAGATGCGCCACTTTGATTTTCGATGTCCTTTTGCGATTGAGAACAGCGCCCACTGTGCCTTTCTTGGCTGTACCGTTTGGGAGAAGCAACGGAACACTTTGTAATCATTCCATTCTTTTGTACTTATCGCAATGTTGTGCACGCCACGGCCGTGTCTGACACTGTGCCGCCAGGGAGATTACTTTCAAGACGGATCCCGAAAATGGAGACTACGAGCTGGAGACGGGTGCCTCTAGGAACTTCGAATCGTGGACTGACAAGCAGGCAACAGAAAAGAAGCACAAGGAGGCCAGGTACGTGTGCAAAACGTTCGATACTGTGCACGAATCAACCATTATGCGAGGGTCATCTTTGCGAATTTTGTGTTCTGGGGCAATCGAAACTGGTGCCCAGCTCACTTCTTGGATGTCCATGAATAATTTATTTCGACAAGCCGTTGTGGTGACTATCGCAAAGCGGGTCCCAACGTTGTTGCTTGAACGCGGCTCGTACACCGTGTAGCAGTTCGCGAGCTGTAGCTTGTAATTGGTACCTTTCTGGGTTGACAGGCACGAAACTCGAGACGACGTGGTGTGAAAACGCGAGATTGCGCTCGTCACGCCGCGGCACGCACTCACATGCACCTCCCGTCTTCGTTTTATGTGGTTCTGCACTCATCTCGGCGCAGGGAAGAAGAGGAGAAGAGCGACAACATGAAGCAACTCGAGAATCGGACGCTGGACTCGAAGATTGAGCTGGAGATCATGGACGCCCTTGACGAGATCAAGTCCGTGAACAGGAGGCACGAAACAGTGAACACGGAGGACTTGCTCAAGGCGTCGGCCGCCAGGAGGAACAAGAGCGTTGCTGACAAGGTGAGTTGTGGCGCTGGAGTTTTGCGCATATGCTCGTGCCACAGCTTGCCGCACCGGTATGTACCGCATGCCTCGTGAGGGTCGACCTGCGGTGTTGGGTTTGTCCTGTCAAATAGGCAGCACCTTCCGTACCAACGCGTGTCGCTCTGTGCTTGTCTGCTTAGATAGCTCCGTTACATTGTGGCGGTTGTGCTGCGTTTCCCCGCTTGACATGCTGCAAGGGGGCTCGTCAAACGCAAGGGTTGATGCATTGCTACCCCCATTTTGTTTCGGGCGCTTGAGCCAGTTTGGTCAAGGCGCTTGTTGTATACCTTGTAGTATGGGTATAGTAAAGTCTCCATATTCCTTACGGTAGGCTGAAGTTATAGCCCCCCCCCTATATTAGAGGTGTACAGGATGAGTGTTGTTGTTGTTACAGTTGTCTGAACGTTTAAAACCTTTGGTTCCGGTCTCCGCTCGGAACCACACCTATCTATCTACCTCGCTGTTTTAATGTCCGTACTGACTGGTCCATCAACTACTGTCTGTCGGTTTGATCGTGTGGAGTATAAAGCATACTTCAGGAGTGCATCACATGAAGGTTTTGTTATCATGGCTACAAGGTCGTATCACAGTCAAAACCCATATTGCAAGAGGTGTTTGAGTTTATGTATTCAACTATATCTAATCCACAACCTATAGTGTATCCTTTACAAAAAATAGAAAATAGGTTGTAGCATTCCACACTAAACCCCCTATTGAAGACCATATACGGTATAAAACAGCCCCCCCCCAGGGGGTCCCACAAGGTTGCACGCTGTCCCCAACATTGTTCCAGATGTTCATCAACGATCTGTTGGAAGTCGTAGAGGCAGTCCGGAAGGGAGTAAAAGTAGGGGACACGGAAAGTCGGTTTCAGGAATGCTGTTTGAGGATGATTTTGTCGGTATGTCGGACACCCCTGAGGGACTGCAACTGCAAATTGACGCGGCGAAGAAGTTTACTGATCAGTGGAGATTGTCTGCCAACGTTAAGAAGAGTGCCGTCATGGTATGCAACGAAAACAAGGAGGAACCAGTAGAACATAGATGGAAGTGTGGGATCGAGGAGTTTGCAGTAGCGGACAAGTACACATACCTCGGAGTAGAGATCGCAAAAGACTGCTCGTGGAATGCACACATGTCCAAGGTAGCGGAAAAGGGCAAAGCACGAACAGGGAAGCTGCACCCAATACTCGCAAACCGGTACCTCGACACACGCATCAAATTGACGGTTTTGAAGGGCGTAATCGTACCGCCGCTAGAGTACGCCGGAAGTATGGGAAGGAAATAAGAAGGTAGTGAAAGAACTCGAGGCGGCGCAGATGAAAGCAGCGAAAATCATCCTAGGATGCT